TTCCTCCAGTCCCTTGGTGGGGGAGATGGAGGTGGGGGCGAGATAAGGCCAGTCAGGCAGCTTGGGTTCACTTTCCCCTCTCCAGGGGCTGCCGTGGCCATTCCCTCCCTCCTACCCCCCACCCCCCGCCCCTGCCCCTGCTTATAATCACAGGGAAGGGCTGAGGAAAACTGGGGTGAAAGAAGGGCCAGGGGAGGAGAATACATGAGGATGGCTGCCTGCCAGGCCCCATCTGGAACCACTTGGGAGAAACGGGCTCTTCTGCTCCCCCCACCTTCAGCCGTCCACCCATCCCCAGTCACTAGGCAGGAGGGTTTAGTGGTGGCTGGGAATCTTTCCCAGTGAAATGAGCATGCAAATCTCCCTTCTTTACAATGCAAAGACACTTCTCAACCTCAACTAGGCCTTCTAGCTGCTTCCCTCGCCTTCTCATTTGAAAATATCTACCTTGGGTCTCCAGATCCCCCTCCCCCCCGCCACTCCTGGGTTTCTGACCCGAGTCATCCTCCGCTGATGCTGCTCTGGAAAAGGTGAGCCCTGCCACGCTCTGTGATTGGCTCTCTCGGCAGCCCGTGGTGTTGTGGCCGGCCCCGCACTCGCCTGTTCTCCTCCGGCCCGCTCCCTCGTGCATCCATCTCCCCAAGGCTGATGAGGTCTTTCCTGCTTCTCCTCCTAGCTGTACACATGGCCTGCCTGTCCATGTCTGTCCCCTGCTCTCCATCCCGCTGCCCCGGGCCTGGTTCAGACCCCCGTGTCCCCTTCTTGGACATCAGCACCAACCGTACCAACTGCTTAACTGGTCCCCAAGCACCCAGTTGGCCCCAGCCCTGTTCTGCCCCTGCCAGGGAACTCTTTCTGAAATGCAGGTCTCATCAAGGGACTGCCTCGCTGCATGCTTTCCTGTGGTTCTCATCACTTGAAGACATGAGTCCAAGTTCTGGGGCTTAGCTGCTCACGATCTGACCCCTACCTACCTGTACACTTCTCACCCCTCCATTTTAAAACCTGCATCAGTTGGCCCCAAAGTGGAGACAGACTATCTACTTAGAATTCCTCTTCCTAATTATTTTCATCTTAAAAAACAAAAAGCAAAATTAAGCTTTTTGATTAATTTGATGATGTTTACCATATAGATCTATAATAGTGCATGAATAAAATTTATAAATAAATATACATATTTATGGGGTGTGCTCAAAACATTTTAGTGATCGAGTGTAAAGTTAAAAGAGCTTGTGGCCACTGCCAAACATCACCACCCGTCTGACTGCCCCATCCTCAGTGCCCCTGATCGCGTGCTCTGGCAGACCTTTGTACCCACCACTCCATCTACCACATCAGGGTGAAGTTAGCTATGGGTAATAGAATATTCAACCATGTACCTTAAAGAAGCTACAAGTTTTTTTGTTCTCTCATATAAACTAAGTCTGGAGGTGAGCAGCCCATGGATGGTGTGGCAGCTCCAAAATCATCTGAGATCCAGGTTCTTTGAACTTATTGCTCTACACTTTTCAAATCATGCTTTCCAGCTCATGCCTCAAAATGGCTGCTGGAGCTCCAGCCATTACATCAGCATTCCAACCAACTAGAAGAAGGAAGGGGTGAAGAGAGACATGCCTCTCCTCACTTTAAGGATATTTCTGATTATTAGAGACAGAGAATGACATTTACTAATGATAGAGATTGATCCACCAGGATGATATCACAACTCCAAATCTAAATGTACTACATAAAATAGCTGCAAAATATATGCAGCAAAAATGAACAGAGTTAACCAACAGTATAGCACAGGGAACTATACTCCATATCTTGTAATAGCCTGTAATGGAAAAGAACCTGAAAAAGAGTATATATATATAACGGAATCACTTTGCTGTACACCTGAAACTAACACAACATTGTAAATCAACTGTATTTCAATAAAAATTTTTTAAAAGAAAAAAATGGGGCTTCCCTGATGGCGCAGTGGTTGAGAGTCTGCCTGCCGATGCAGGGGACACGGGTTCGTGCCCCGGTCTGGGAGGATCCCACATGCCGCGGAGCGGCTGGGCCCGTGAGCCATGGCCACTGAGCCTGCGCGTCCGGAGCCTGTGCTCCGCAACGGGAGAGGCCACGGCAGTGAGAGGCCCGCATACCGCAAAAAAAAAAAAAAGAAAAAAAGAAAAAAATGAACAGTTCAAGGATGGATATACAAATTCATGGTCCTAGTGGGAGTCTGATATACTTTTTTCCATAGACAGTAGAACAAGCAGACATGAAATCAGCGAAGATGTAGCTGTGAAAAGTGCAGTTACCGAATTTAACCTAATTGACGCCCATAGAACTCTGCTCCCTACAGTGACAGGATCCACCTTCTCAAACGCACGTGAAACATACACCCAAAAATGATACCTTAAGTTGCATACACTGCTTCTGCTTCCGTGCCTTTTGCGAGCAGTTAATCCTGGCTGTACCCAGTAGGAAGAGAGGCTAGGGAGTGTCGTCTGCTCCAGGGGGCCAAGTACCCAACTAAAATGGGGGATTCTTGTCCTAATCTAGAGGGGAGAACAGCTATTAAGGAAGTCAGCAACCTCGGTCCTCCTTGCTGCCTCCCCCTGCCAGCTCTGGTCCTGAGAGCACTGCATGGTGGGTAAGAGCTTGGGCTGAGTCAGAAGCTCCTTGTTCTGTTCGGGCTTTGCCACTTACTTGCTCTGTGACTTGGACAGCTTATTTAACCTGTGGGAGCTTCAGTTTCCTTATCTTGCAAAAGGAATGGGAATAACCCTACTTCATAGGGCTGTTGGGAAGCTGGAACAAGATGGCCCGTGTAAAGCACTTAATCCTGGGCTTGGCACGTAGTAAGTGCTCAGTAAATTAGCTGCACAGAGAAATTAAGTAACTTGCCCAAGGTCACACAGCCGGGAAATGACAAGGTTCTGACACTTCTTTGGGGGCCTCTGCCAGCCCTAGCATAGGGCCCCACGTATGGTAGGGTCCTGTGTAAGGAGCACAGAACAGGGGGTCAGGCAACCATTAGCCATGTGACTTGAGAGAGGTCATTTGAAAATGAGTCTTAACTCAGACATGTATTAATTTCCTCATTCCTTCTGCAGAAGGTTGGATTAAGTGAGTCCAGAGGTTTTTGCTGACCCTGCCATTCCACAGCACCGTGGGCTTCTGTCTTCTCTACCCCTCGGGGCCGAAACTTTACCATTAGAAATATGTTTCTTTTGTTAAATCCTGTCATCTGCCTGAACTCTTTTAAAAATACAGTTTCCTTCAGAGGGTCCTGACCCCTTGGTCTGCAGGTCTAGAGAAGGTTCTGGTGCTTGAGTCCAGTGGGCCCCGGCTGGGAGGGGAGGGCCAGGCAAAGGGAGAAGAGAATGCAGACAGGAGGGGCTGGGCCCCAAACAGACGGTCAGTTTACCAATGGCCCCGGTGGCCCAGAGGGTCCCTCATCAGGACCTCGTGCACAGTGACCTGCACAACGACCGTGTAATAGCTCCCGGTCCAGTCGCCTGGCTGACCCCATCTAGCACCGCTTTTTACACTTTTTATAGGGCTTCCTTTTTTCTCCTTCTGTATTTTTTCCACCACCCTACCTCTCAGACTAAATCGGAGAAAAATGGGTTTTGTCTTTTTTTACCAAGAAGACAAAGTCTTAAATTACCTTCTTCAAGGTCTGCAAATAGAAATCCCAAATAAGACAGCCACCTCTTCTTTTCTGTCTTCCTTTCGCCCTGTCTCAGGAGCCCATGAGCTTGAAATAAAACTCAGCACGGTGGCTCCAGGGGAAGTAATCTGGGCCCGGCCGGCACCAGTCGCGGAGAGGCGGGGCAGGGCAGTGGCGGGGGGGCCCGAGCAGACACTGGTGGGAATGGAGGAGAGGGAGATGGAGGTGGGCAGAACCAAGGCCTGCTTGCTCTGGGTGTGGAATAAAAGAGGTCCCCCTAAAGGGGACGGTTCCTAAAGGAGCAGCTACGCTCCGAGTGTCAGGGCGTGTGTGTGGGGGAGCCCAGGGAATGAGAGAAGCCCGAGGAGAGATCTCGGAGGCTGCTTTGGGATTTAGATGCAAACAGGATCACCGGGCACATGAACCCCCATCTTCTCATCCCACTGACGCCACAGTTCCCAGAGAGCCCACCAGCGGGCATCGGGACAAGGGGAAGGAGCATGGTTCTGGGGCAAAGGCTAGGAATTTTAGGGCTGGCGCTCTGGGTTCTAACCCCTGTCACATGTAATATTAATAGCCAACAGTATAGAGCACTTACTCCGTGCCAGGGACTGTGGTCAACACCTCACGTAGATCATCCCATTTCATCTGTAAGACAACCCTGCCACGTGGGCATCATTATTCCCTCCAGTACAGAGGAGGACACGAGGACGAGAGGTTACATAACTACCCACATTCTCACACACCTTGTGACAGATCAGGGTTTAAACCGAGGGAGCCGGACTCCAGATCTTGTCATCCTCCTGCCAAACCACTAGGTCTACCGACCTGCTTCCTCCTTTGGAGAGTCGAGGTGCTGGGGTGGCCTGGGGATATCGAGGTCCCTTCCAGCACAGATGCTCTGATTTGGGGCTCGTGCCTCACCTGCGCATGCAGAGGTCCTGTTCAAATGATACAGGATTCCACCGCAAAGCAGGCACGCCAAGTGTGTGTGTGTGTGTGTGTGTGTGTGTGCAGGACAGGTGAACTTGTGTCCTGCCACCCTGCTAAGACGGGGGGAGAATAAGAACACAGTAGCACAGTGCAAAGTCTGTAGGAAGACTTGCAGGTTAGTCCTGCATCAGAAGGGCCAAACCAAGATCCACAGTGCTAGAAAATTCTGCGTGGTTCACCTCCATTCTGTGTCCAGTGACCTTGGCGCTTCTCTGCTCTTTGCTTGGGGCTGCACACCCCCAGTCTGAGAGTCCCCGGCCAGACAGGCTAGGATGCCCTTTGAAGGGAACCTCGCCTGGCTCTGGGCGGGCGAGGTCGCCTCCGTGGACCCCTGGTCACACGTGTGTCTTCTTTGCAGGCCCAGCAACCATGGCCCATTACAAGGTCGATCAGGACGACTGGCTGACCGTCTACTTGAAGTATTTACTCGCTGTCTTTAACTTCTTCTTCTGGGTAAGTGAACCCGGCACGCGCCACCCGCTTCTCCAGCACCGCGTGAGTCAAGCCGTCTTTGCTTTTTGTGAGTCATCTCTCTGGAGCTGATTTTTTCCAAATCAAAGACCACCCATGGGCTAATTCTGCCTACTTGAAAGCAAACGTGTACATTTGCTACTGAGGGGGAACCTAAGACTCGGCCTGCAGGTTGGCATGGAGTCCGTACCGCACAGCAGCCAGGCATCGCCATGAGCTTGCGTCCCGGCCTCGGTCCGCAAGGTCTGGCTCTCCCTCCCCTGCTAACTTGCGACTCCAGTGCCTGGTGGGAAATGTGACGGCCTCAAATAACTGCTTGTTTTCCTCCGAAGCCCATTCGCCTTTCATGATTCACATTCTCCAGGCCTGAGGCAGAGAAACTAAGTCCTGGGGGGCCCAGGGCTGCCTCTGTGCATCGGGAATGGTCTCTGTAGCGACTCCCTGCCGGGGAAACCACCCGGGCTAGGTCATCCAGGAAGAAAAGAGTCTGTCCACTTGAGGCAATTATCCAGATAATTGGTAGCAGAATACCACCAGGTCCCCAAAGAGCCAGACACTGGAATGTGTCTGGAGAGGCAGAAGGGGGCTAACGGTGCAGGCGTTGCCGTCAGCAGAGGCAGAAGGGGGCTAACGGTGCAGGCGTTGCCGTCAGCAGAGGCAGAAGAGGGCTAACGGTGCAGGCGTTGCCGTCAACAGACAGGCTCTGCCGTAGGCAACTCACCTACGCTGGCTGAGCCTGTGTCTCCAGTTAAACGAAAGCTATTTGGCAATGACCAACCCGCTGTTTTGCCTAATATAACTTCCTTGTTCCCAGCCCTTCTGCCTAGAAAAGTCTTTCGTTTTGTATGGCTCTCGGAGCTCCTTTGCATCTGCTAGATGGGATGCTGCCTGATTCAAATCGAGTTTTGTTCAGATCAACTTAACATTTTTAATGTGCCTCAGTTTATCTTTTATTTTTTAATTAATTAATTAATTAATTTATGGCTGCGTTGGGTCTTCGTTGGTGCGTGCGGGCTTTCTCTAGTCGCGGCGAGCGTGGGTTACTCTTCGTTGCGGTGCGTGGGCTTCTCATCGCGGTGGCTTCTCGTGCTGCGGAGCACGGGCTCTAGGTGCGTGGGCTTCAGTAGTTGTGGCACGCGGGCTCAGTAGTCGTGGCTAGCAGGCTGTAGAGCTCAGGATCTGTAGTTGTGGCGCACGGGCTTAGTTGCTCCGTGGCATGTGGGATCTTCCCGGACCAGGGCTCGAACCCATGTCCCCTGCATTGGCAGGTGGATTCTTAACCACTGCGACACCAGGGAAGTCCCTCAGTTTATCTGTTAATAGTGTATTTCAGAGACGCCCTGAAATGGTGTATGTGAAATGCTTAATTCCGTCTCTGCACACAGAAGGCATTCAGTAAATGCAGTCTTTTGGGTATATTAGCTGTAGAAGGCCCCAAAATGCCAGCAGATCGACCTGCTCGTAAGGCAGGGCTGAGTCTCCTTGTTGCCATGGCAAAGGATGCGCTCTCAGAAGCCTCTCAGAAAGGCAGAGGCAAAGCTGGGCTGTGTTTGCCTTTTCAGAGTCTTCCACTAAGATTAATGAAAGGAAGGATCATGGTATAGTAGTTAAGGATTGGTACACACAGCGAGGCAAGGGTTTCGAAGCGTCTTGGAGAGGGGACATACAATGCCATCTATTCAGAAGTTAAACAATCTGCCGTTTGCTTAAATGCTTTTTGCAAAGTTCCGGAAACGAACAATGAACTTGTTTTATTTGCAACTTTTCTCTTCCTGGGCGAGTGTTTCCTGGAATAGGGAAGTTGTATGGATGAAGACAGTGGAATAATAAAGCCACAGTGATATGATCAGGTCATTGTGTGGGCGTAGATAGTTTCGATTCTCAGAGAGAAATCCGGTGGGGTGTTTAAGATTCTCGCTGAGTGAGGATTTTTTTAAAAATACAGTAAGTCCCTTACATACGAACGAGTTCCGTTCCGAGAACGCATTCATAAGTCCAGTTTGTTCGTTAAGTCCAACAGAGTTAGCCTAGGTGCCCAACACAATCGGCTCTATAGTACTGTACTGTGATAGGTTTATAACACTTTTCACACAGATAATACATAAAAACAAACACAAAAAATAAAACATTTTTAATCTTATGGTACAGTGCCTTGAAAAGTACAGTAGCACCAGTACAACAGCTGGCACACGGGGGCTGGCACTGAGTGAACAGGCAGGAAGAGTTACTGCCTGGAGGAGGGAGAGGAGGTGGGAGCTGGTAGAGCTGAAGGGTCGTCAGCAACAGGAGACAGAGGAAGCTGCAGTGTCACTCACGCCTGACGCTGATGGCGCAGGCTCTGGTTCCTTTGCTGGAACCAGATGCACGTTTGCATCTTTGAAAGCTTGCACCTGGAAGGTTTGTATGTTGGGGACTTACTGTAATAAGTGTGCTCTTCCAGCTCATAAAGTCTTACGTATCCACTAATAATCGATAAAATACTAAAAAATTTAAGTAAGAAAAAAATGGCCCATATCTCAGGGTATTAGGCTCCTAGGGGGCTGTAACAAAGGAACATAAACTGAGTTGCTTAAGACAACAGAAATTGATTGTCTCACAGCTCTGGAGGCCAGAGTCAAGTCCGAAACGAGTGTCAGCAGGGCTGTGCTCCCTCTGAGACTCTAGGTAGGACCTTGCTTGCCTCTTGCAAGCGCCTGGTGGGGGCGGGCGTCGTGGAGTCCTTGGCTTTCGACTGCATCTTTCCAGGCCCTGCCTCAGTCATCACGTGCTGTCCTTCCTGTGTGTCTCTATCCTTACACAGCATTTTCTTCTTCTTGTAAGGACCCACTCATACAGGATTGGGGCCCATCCTAATGACTGTACCCTAATTAATTACATCTGCAAAGATCCTATTTCCGAATAAGGTCACATTCACAGGTACTGGGGTTAGGACTTTAACAAACCTTCCTGGGGACACAGTTCAACCCATAATACTGTCTACCCAGAAATGACCACTGTGGACATTCCTTCTAGGCTTTTCCCTGATCAGGACAACAGATGGTGGTGACCTGCATTGAGGGGGTGACAGCGAGCATCAAATACTTGGGGAAAGTCGAGGGTTTTAGGAAGCAAAATTGACAAGATTTGGTCATTAATCAGATGCTGTCGAGAGGGCAGAGGTGTCTAGGATATGTAAGTCCATCCCCGCAGCGGGAGCCCAGGAAGGCAAGCAGCGTGGGGTCAGATGGCGAGGTCACACGTTGGCGTGGTGCGCTTGAGTTGCCAGGAGACCATCTGAGCGGAGATGCCCAGTGAGATAAGTCAGCTCAGGGGTCTGGGTCTCAGATGGGCATCGTCTCCACCCCCATGGTGGTTGCAGCCACGGGACTGGGTGAGAATCCCAGGGAGAGCATGGGGGCTGAGAATTCAGGCAAGAGAGAGATGTGGGAGTCCCAGATAACAGGGGTGCGTCCAGGGTCCACAGTGTCCCCGTTTGCCCTGTCTAAACCAGGAGAGACCGGGGTTACAATGCCTAGCATCTGAGAGGTACTGCTGGATAACGACCTTCCGTGGACTATCCCCTGTGATCCGCAGGTCAACCCTGGCGGCTGTATCACTGTTACCCTCACGTTACAGACAGGGAGCAGGTACACCCAGTTCAGAATCCTGCCCAAGGTCTTGTCGTGGTGATAAGGAAAGCTGGTGCTAACGTCCAGGTACTCTGGTCAGTGATGATGGAAAATCTATTCCATGGCATTTATTAAGCATGTGCTAAGTGCCAAGCCCTGTTGCGGACGCTTGGAATCCATCCGTGGACAAAGCTCCCAGCATCCACGGAGCTTCTGTGGTAGGCCTTCCCTGGGCTGTGCATCCGCGCGCATCCTCCCAGCGCCCTGAGGCTGTGAGCGGCTCTGCGAGAGCCCTGCGTTACCAAGGTGGAAGCAGTCTGCCCGAAGCCCCGGAGCTGGGGGCCCCTCTCTCTCACCCCTAAGCCGGTGTGCCTGGCCGTCAGCTCTGACATTACCTGCTGCCTCCAGCTCTGAGTTCCGCGTTTTCCCAGTGTCCCGGGTGCCGGGAAAACTTGGGCTCAAGTTCAGGCTCAAATTGAGACCCCATTGTCCATTTGCCGTGGAAGATTAGGTGCTGCGGACTGAACTGTGACCCATAGGGATTGAAGCCCTAACCCTCAATGTGACTGTATTTGGAGACAGGGCATTTAGAAGGTGATTAAGGTTAAATGAAGTCACAAGGGTGAGGTCCTAATCCGATGGGATTGGCTTTACAGGTAGAGGAAGAGAGCTGTCTCTCTAAGCCTGCCCAGAGGAAAGGCCATGAGGACACGGTGAGGAGACAGCCGTCTCTGTAAGCAAAGAAGGTCCTCACCCAAACTGAATCAGCCAGCACCTTATTTGGAGGACTTCCAGCCTCCAGAACCGTGAGAAATAGAGATAAATTTCTGTTGTTTAAGCTGCTCTATGGCGTTTTATTAGGGCAACCTTGAGCAGACTAACACATTAGGCAGATCACTTCATCTCACTGAGCGTCACGTTTTGCATACGTTAAACGGGAACATCAGTACCTGTAAGAATTAAAGACGAATATTTAGGAAAACATTTCGCATGGTGTCTGGCACACGCCTACCTGGTGCTTAGCTGTTACGCATAGCTACGCTATTATGATTAGACTAAGGGGCACGCCTCACCTCTAACCGCTTCCTACGTCCATAGCTCTGGCTTGGCGGCTTCGGGGATCATGTGACCCATGTAAGAAGTTCATGGAAGCATAAGAATTGCTCAGTGAAGCAGCGTTCACGAAGCTAAGCTTACCCTTACCGTGTGCAGTGCACTCCGATGCTTCCTCCTCTAGAGCGTGGTGGTTTGGTTTTGCTGTTTAGCACAGGTTACCACCCACCAAGTTTAGCTCACAGCCCTAAATGTTTACATCCCAAAGTTTGAAACACCCAGAGCAGTGAGGGGGGGGAAACAGCACCCCCTCCACCCCCA